CCTGAATCCCCTCGCCCCCATTCGAATCTCCCTGTAATGCCCACATCACTGAGGAAAAAACAGTTTTCCAAGTAATTCCTCTCCTCGCGCATCCATGATTGGATACAGCCAGACTGGACGTTCGTAACGTTCTATGCAGCTACTTTTTCGTCTTAACAAATCTACGTGCTTCTTGCAAAAGCGTTTCAACATCTTCATTATCCTTGTCTTCTGAACTTGGTTCCCAGTCAGAGTCTTCATCAGTAGGTTCGCACTCCTCTTCCTCATCATCTATAAAGCTGTCATTAAGGTCATATTCATTTGGTTCATGATCATCACCATCTTTCTCCACAGCCCTTTTTCCTGTAGGAACAAAAATGTAATTTATTCATGAATCATAAAAACAGAAAGAAAGAGACCTTTCAGAGACTATCTAGTTTGTCTCTCTCATCAAGAGGAGAGAGAATCGACGAAAGCACCCAATGCTTACTATTTTGATTTTCAAGACTTTCATGAAAAACTGAACCACCTCTCTCTGACACCGACTGCAGCACTTACCAGTCTGATCACTTAGAAAGTTTTCCTTACTGGCTTTTCTTCCAGCACTTGGAAAACAGTATCAGGCCTCTTCTGATAATGTCTTCTGATATCAGAAGATGACAATATTGGATAATGTCTTCTGATAACTCTCCTTTCCTTATGGGGTGGGACACAAAATTTTCCTAGTCGTCTTCCTGCTACTTCTGTACCTAAACAATACATCTATCTTGCCATTTAGCCTCTAGGTATTGCTAGGCGGCTATTTTGACACTAGATTTTCTGCCTTTATCCATACATACTTACTTAGGGCTATTTTATTCTCATACCCTTTGGAATCTGACATGGCTTTTAATTTCCATTCACTTCTTTCCTGAGCTTCAGGTGAGAGAAGGGAATCTGCTAGACCACTCGCCTCCTACGTTCTCAACTGGCATCCATGCTGGATAGTGTGTGCTTCCTTTCTGAACACAGGTTAAGGAAACAACAAATACTGAACACTTCTTTTTTGAGCTGGGTGCAGCCTTCCTGTTTCCCAGTTCAGTCTATTCTATTGCGCTGCTTTCTAAACTGCTGCCCACCCATCTTCACAACTTACATTTTGTGATCAAATTGCCTTCTGCCTTCATAGTATTTCACAAGATTTTGTATTGGCAGGAATCAAAGAATCAGAAACCTCTATTTACAAGAAACAGATGCTGTTCGCAGCATGTTCCTGAAGTTTTTTAGACAGCTTGTTTTGCAGTATTCTTTTAATTGCTCAAATATGTTGGCACATTTAAACCACGTCCCAGAGGCAGGATAATTCTGCTACTTGAAGAAGTCTTATCTATCTGACTTGGTAGTGTCTATACAAAGCTGCTGCAATGGCAGCATTGCCTTCTCCTTTTATTTATCAGCAGCTGTGAACCTTCAACCAGTTTATTTTCTCTGATTCCCAATTTTGGCAGATGTGCGTAACCCTTGCTCTACAAGCTTACATTGTCTCCCTTTTTTCTTACATGTCCACAATTCCTAACTAGCCACATTCTGTTAATATTCCAATTGTGTTATTCTGCCCTTAAGTCATACCTCTGAGTAAAACCATGTTCATTTCTCTTCTTCCCAGCCTCCAATTTTTGCATTATCTCACCTAGAGATAACCTGTCAGTGATGTCATACAGATAATTTATCTGCTGAGCAATTCTTGTCATCATCTTTCATATGAAACTATAAACATGGGGGTTGTTTTCCCCCCAGCCACAGACCCCAGCCCAAACCACCAATGTTTGTATTAACCATAAGCATTTCTTAGCAACCTCAGGTCAGAGCCCCAGGCACTCAAGCTACACATGTGGTGAACAAACGAGAACACCAGTACCTTACCTAGTCAGATCACATCCTCTATCAGTTCCATTTTTCTACTAGTTGGAACCTTACTATTCCAGAATTATCTTATGGTCTGATTAAGGTTTTATATTCTATAGCAACTCTCAGCCAAGGTTTTCAAAAGCATTTACAGCATTTGTCAAGTTTCTCAAAGATACACAATTTTATGGGTGAATTGTGCTTACAAAGGCACCGAATGACCTCCTAGAATAATGTCAGCCACGTGTGACACACCAGTAACATAGCTGAGAAATAACCTATGGTTAGCAATCTCTATTCTTTGAAGGACCGACCGCGCACCACCTAGCAGAAAACCCTGAAAATGCCAACCGCCAATTTGAGTTGTAATCCACTATTATGCTTGCTAGTTTATTGTTTACCAGACTTCACAGGAACTCAATCACATCCATGTTTACCAGCAGAATTTCTTATAAGAATCACAGACCATGGTTCTGCAGAATGAATTATGTCTTGGAGAGGAGAAGTCAAAACAAAGATGCTAAATACAATAAGAACAAAATCCCTCTTCTCGGCTTACAAGAATAATAAGCCCAAAACTTGCTTAGCAAAGAAAAGCTCTTCTTCACTTTCACAGCACTGTGGGTGATATTTTACAACAGAAGTAGGAATTCTGGCAAAATACTGATTACTTCCATCAAACAATCTCTATATATATTTTTAAATTTATTTATTTTTCCTAAAAAGGTAGGAGGTCCATACTATGTTCTTCCTCCCCATACATCAATGCTTTTAGATTTCAGCAGTGAATGATGCACTTCCTTCCATGTCTTCCCACTCCACTTCTTTCTGCTACAGTTTACTTCAGTCCCACAGCCCCTAAAGCTGCTCATTAAGCACAATTCTGCCTGTTCCCTAGTACCACATTTATCAAGATGACCTTGCAACTTTCTCTGGAAGTATCCGCTCCATGTGGGGAGAAAAAGCTTGCTGACCACCTCTTTCAGAGAGTTATGTTTGGAATTAAGTGGATGAGCTTGCTAGAAAACCTACAAAGAAGTGCGTAGGAGAATCCTGCATAGTCCATAGCCACAACAGGTCATTCATTTAAGTAGCAACAATATAGTGAGATCATTCACTAGTGACACTTTAATGAGAGCATAACTGACCTTTGGTTTTTTTTTCCCTTTTCCTTCCCTTACAACTATTCCCCCAGTAGCATTAGATTATTTCTCAGAACATAGACCACATTCTCTACAGGAAATTTACAATCCCTCTGGTAGCAATTAGACTAAAAATGTTAAAAACGAAACATGTCAAATGTCATGTAGACAGCACCCTTCTTTTCTTGGCTGGTGGAGTTTAGATACACCTGTATGGAAATTAATCCTGCTGTGCTTAACAGTGCAGTTGTGCCAAACACCATGAAATAAAGGTTAGTGGAGCCCTGACTGCCCGTGTGACTTTGCATGGCTCAGTACAACAGCCTCAGATGTGAATGTCCTGAGCGCAACCTTTTACAAGCTTTGCCCTCAAGAGAGCTAAGCAAGCCAGTCAACAAGACATTGAAGAAAAAAAAAAAACCAAACCAAACAACCAGCAAATATGAACAGCACTTTAGTTAATGAATTCCCTTCTTTTCCCTGTGCATAGAATATCAATTCTTCCCTGCTTCTTACTTAGTAAGAGGAGTTGAATTTGATAGATTGAATTTCACTTCCGTGTTAAAGTTTTGCACACTTACAAGAGAAGCGCTTTTCCATCTGTAGTCACCCTTGGCTGACCACCTGCCATGAGCTGTACATATAGGACCCACCATTTGGGTAAGGAAGGGGTCCTTACGAAAGGCACAGCTACAATTTAAAACCTTCAAGATTTAGATTTAGAGTAAGGACTTGAGATACACACACAGTCCAGCTTGCTTCACTATAAAATCTTAACCACTCGCTGCTCTTACAATGCTGCTAACAATTCTCACCACACCATAACACACATTTCTATAAGGAAGCAGTGACCAAGACCATCATCATGGGATGTGGCAAAACAGACAGGTAACGCATATGCCTCAGAATATACCAGTACATAGACACAACCATGTCAAGCGTTCAGTAATAGCAAAAGTGCACACATACATCATAAGGAAATGGGAGGAGAATGAAATTTCTCAGCAGAAAGTATAAAAGCAAGCTCTTGCATCCACCCACAACAGAAATGGAGGCCAAAACGCTTTACCTAGAAAACTAACTGCAGCTATTTGAACTTTTATTTATTTTCTCTAGAAGGCGAATCTCTCTATTTTGAGGATTTCTTTAGGAAATGCCCAGCCACACCTCGGTGATCTCAAGAAAGACAAGCCAGTTCCCACTTCCACTTGAGATGCAGCAGTTCCACATCCTCATGCCTTGTTCAGGCCAGTGAAAGTGAAGATGGCATATCATCAGACTTTCAAACTACTTTTTAAAGCTCACTTTCAAATTATTTTAAAAAGAATAAGAAGCTTCACATTTGGAAGCTGAGACACAGAAGAAGCCTGGAAACAGACCTAAAGGATATTTAAAACTGGAGTCTAGGTACCCACAACATATAAGTTAACATTGTTGGCAGCAGTAAAGCAAGCTAGGTGTGCCACTGCTAAGTGGAGGAGATATTAATACATGGTATTACATTTTACATTATCAAGAGAGACTACAGCCTGCCTGTGCTACTACATAATCCTCACTGATGACCAGAAACTAAAGTAAGAAGGATACATATGTAGTTTACAGTGAAAACTGCCCCCAACTGAAAGGCGCTAACCTTCTTCTATGCTTTAGTCCTAACAAGCCAGTATCTTATCTGAAACATCGATACCTCATACTAAGCATAAGAAAAGCTTATCAGCACATGCACAGATATCACTTGAAAGTTATTTAAAGGTCAATGCAACGCAGAAGGAATATCTCCGTTTCAAGAGCAATCAATCTTTACTAGGGCAACCTTAACTAGTTGTGCATGAAATACGGGATTCCTTTCATCCTATTATGACCCCTGTGCAAGGCAGAATCAATTTAGCCACATGTGTCTCTCCTTAGAACATTTGTTTGTTTTCTTGTCTGCTTCCAGGTTGTGCTCATCCAGGAAGCCTGGCACAAAGCCAACGTCAGCACTATTACTTGCAAAAAAGCAAGCAGGGTTTTACTAAAATAACAACTACTTTCTCCTCAGATAAGTATTATCAAGCATCTCCAGCTCTATTAAATGCCCAAAAAACAAAGCAGACTGGTCGCATCCCATGCTGATGGGCCCATTCACAACATTAGAACATACTCACCCCTCTTTGAAGTTCGTTGTCGGGTTCCTCTTTCAGTTACTAAAGAAAAGAAGGTTATTAGTCAGGACAGAGTACAACCTAGCATAAGGATTATTCATAGAGGTTGCTACAATAAAAGACCGACCTATTAAAATAAATGCTGCAATGACTGTGCTATATTTTCAAGCATAAAAACTAGCCTCCTGCCCAAAAAAACCTTTCTTTTGTATTGAATGATTTCTGAGAGAATACCCAGATGAACTATTCTTACAATTATGAACCATTCCATCTGCAGAAAAATGTCATCAGGACTCGTTTTTTTTTATTTTTAAGCAGAAAACTGGAGTATTTCAAAGCATTTAAATATTTTACACCATTTTTTCCATAAATGCAATTTCTCCTTAGTAAGGTCATAATCCTGATTCTTTAAAGTAAAATATATTATCATTACATTTCCATAATTGTTCTGCTTTGAAGTACGATTTACTGCATTGGGATTTCAAGTGGAAAAAAAATCTCCAAGTCCCCATAATCACAAAAAAGCACAAAAAAATACAAAGTATCTCTTTGAATTCTTTAAGAACAGACAAAATGTAAACAGTACATTCCCCTGTGTTTTTCAACAAGTCTAGTTACTGGAATATAAAAGACTAGAAAATTTTAGAACAGAAACTCAGATTCAGTTTTAATTATATTCCCTCCAAGCCCCAAGAGAACATACATGCAAAAGTTTGTTCTCTCAGTAAGAAAATCACTGGTCCAAAAACCCAAAAATTTCAAATAAAATGACAGACACATTTCAAATGTTTGTTTTAGAGCATCACAAGACTTTAAAATTGTATGTTACAGAGGATTTCCTATCAAAAGACAAATAAGAATAAAAAGTAAGTATGAAATCTTGAGATAGAAATCTATACAGTTAAAACAAAATATTTCTGTGTACACATTTTGCTATGGGGACAGGAGAAAAGCTATAGAAATGATTTACTGCAGTAGCCATTTGAAATGTTGAGAAATACTTCAGTAACACCTAAATATATTCCCTGTTTTCACTGTAATACTCCAGCTCTGAATAGGGGAAGGAAAATACAAAGACCTGGTAATATCGCAATATACCATGTTTAATTTTCAATAAAACCTGTTCAACTCATTAAAATAGCCACTTGCCACACAGCATTTTTGTCAGTATGTAAGATACAAAACACACAAACTATGTCAGTTGAGTCTGACATAGCCCATCTCACTTCAGTTGAGAAACATTTGAAAAAGTGAGTGCAAGTTCACAGCGGCCAAGCAACCTTCCTTACCACAGACAAGGGCAAGACCTCATACTTAAGAAGAGCAAGGCTGCAGGGCAGTACAAAGTAAGCTGCAAATGCAGTGTTTTTCACTTACAGTAGCTGAAAGCATTTTAGTCCAAATTTTTGGTATCCATTACTGGGTTTTGGGGTTCCCCCCCAACCCACTTTGAGCTATATCGAACAACTTGTCTTACCTGGAGGTGCACTGTGCTTATATTCTAGCTTGTGCTGTGGATTCTTCCTGCAAAGAAGAAAATAGTAAAAGCTTGATTTGCCACCTTGTTCCACACTTAACAAGCCCAAAACTCCTTGGTATTTTATGGATAATTTTTGTTTCTTTTTAAAATAAAATTCTGTGGCCAATGCCTTATTGCAGTGGTTCGGTTTATAGAATGTAGGGTGGGGGGAAAGAAAAAAAAAACCATCAGGTTAAATAAGAGTTCCTCTTGTTTCAGCATTAAAAAAAAAAAAAAAGGCCGATCAAAACCAAGAGATGAGTTTCCCAAAGTTGTATGATAAGATGCATTTGTTCAGTGTAATAAGAACCGATCCAATTATTTACTCTCACTAAAAAGGAAACCAGAACGTAACTTCTGGTGCATTAAGTACAATGCACGCACAGCGCATTACAGGTCTGAGACATCCAGGCATAGTTTCCACACTCCGAAACATAAGGCTACAAATTAAATAGTTTGGGAAAATTAAAGAATTTGGAAAGAACTGCTTGTCTCAAAGATCACAGGGAGAGGCCACAGAAGGATTCTTCAGAGAGATTACTAACTTCTGCAGTATGCTGCTGCAATCCAGCAAATTCAGTTTACAAGTTTGTATGTCTTCTATAAAAAAACAGCATCAAAGCAATGAAAGCAAATTTAAAGTCAACTTACTCTTGGATCTGCAATACATGTTCCCCTTATTCAGGCTGTGATCCAGGTCGTTAACGCACTGGTTGATCTTCCCCCACACACACTATCTAATGCTGCTCTAATGTTTTAACTTGGTCCAACTTACATTGTGCTAATCTATGTTGTTAGTATGTTAGAAGCTTTTCTCAGGACTGCATGCTAAAATAGTTTCAACTCAATGTATTTTTGTGCAGAAATTTTTAAAAATTCTAACTTTGGAAGAAAACCAGTGCAGTTGTCCTAATTTTTGCTTCTGAAAATAAGCAACAGTTAAAGCCCACTCTTTTAAGAGGGGCATACCACATGGTATTGCTTGAAACTTGAGATTAATTTCTGCAACTGCAGAAGTTTTTGTGTATTTTACAAAATCCCCCTGCTGTGAAAACTGCCTTGTAAAATCAGTTGCTTATTTGTTTTGTTATTCTTCAAAAAACAGAGTAATACAGTTAGTCTTCAGTAGAAAAATCTTATTTTTATGTCAAATTACTTGTGACAAATTCACACACTTCAAGTTGATTTACACTTCTACAGCTACTGCCATCCCAAAGTACATTATGTGTGCATTAGAAGTGATAGTTATTGGAATTAAAAAAATGGAAATAGAGCCAGGATGTATCCCGGATGAAACACAGATTAAGAAACGATCAACTAAAACAGCACGGAGGTTCTCTCATCCAGAAGGAGAGGGAGTTTTAGTTTTGAATAAAGTATCCATTGTACTCCTGAAAAGTATGTTGGCGATTTCATTACCAGTATAAATCCAGATTTCTCATCCTGAGATAAGAAATTAATCTCATTACTATATTTCAGAAGAGAAACACTTTTTCTGCATTAGCTGAATATTACACGGCTTTTTCTTAAAAGTTACCCTCATTTTGTTACATTTCATAAAGAACACATTCTTTAGGATCACCACACTTTCTGGGAGAGAGGGGATAAAACATTTCTGCTCACGCACGATCTTTATTAACAGCAGCTGTCAGTTTTAATATGCCCCCACAGAAGTGCTATTGCCTTTTGTCCACTGTGCCAATTACAGAGCAGTCAAACTCTGCTAAATACAAGTGTAAAACCTAGACCTTGAGAAACAAACTGGAATAAAACAATCTTTTGGAAAATCAACAGTGCTTGAAAGAAACTGCAGTGAGCCATAAACTGGATTTTATTGCTTTTGTTATGCTTTCTAACAAATCAAATACTGATTAAAATAGAGTTTTTGTACAAAATCTCAACACTATCAAAATTTAAGCCAAAAGTTACGTATCAAGAACGCCATGTAACAAAAAATATACTGTTTATATAAAAAAAGAACAGTTTACTACCTGTTGACAAGCGAAAAACAAGTGCTGATCTCTAGGTCATTGAATAGGTTCCAAAATTCAAGTTTTCACGTTCATCAGCTGAAATCGCTAACAAATATTTTTTGCACAGACTTTGGTGCCTTAAAGGTAGCAGCCTGTCCACATTTCAGAAGGCAGTGAGACTTTTGAAGGAGCTGAGGCTACACTCAAGATTTAACATCAAGAATTACTCATTATTCTATTGTCATTTTGTAACTCCAGGGGAGTCTTAACCTGTTAAACAAGAAAAGCCATTTTGACATGTTTCTGCTATGTTTGTACGTGTTTCTTACCTATAACAAGCCGTTCCATATGGACATTCAGGCCGGTTATCATTGTTATCCTGAGTTACGATCTCTGTTTCATGATAGTCATCATCATTAGGGTGACTGAACTGCTGAAAGTGAAGAGGATTCTTCCTGCAAAAGACAAATTATGTATCGAGAACTGACTGTTCTATTTAAACATGAGAAGTGGAGATAAGAAAGGTGTTACTGAATCAGCGACAACTCATTTTTCTGTTGTTACATAAAGAGGAGCTTTTAATGTCTAACTTTATGCAGAATGTAAGACCTACTTTCAAGATAACATAAGAAAAGCTTTGTCTCTGCACAGGCTGCAAAGGAGGTTAAAACAGGAATTTTCCTCTTTGCCATCAGCTTTAAGTTTCAGACCTCCAACACGTACACAGTCTACTGATGTAGTCATATAGCGTAAATCTTACTCAGTGGACAACTTGCTCAGTTACGACTCCATCTGGAGCTATCAAAGTGCAATAGAAACTTCTACTTGACATCTTAGCTCAAGTTGGAAGGGCCAACACATGACAGCTGAACAACTGCAGGACTAAAGACCCCACACCCTTGCGTTATCGCATATTAGCTTCAGGCGATCTGTCTCAACTATTATTTCTGTTCTGTATGCAAGATACTACTCACTTGAATACTTCAAATGCCAGCATCTTATTCCAGATGAACCAGTCTATTGGACATTACATTGATTATGCTATCAAGTTTCGTTAGCTACCATGACATTTTATTTGAAATATCAAATTACAATGATGACACAAAGTTGTACCCTAAGACATAACAGTTCTGCATGTAGTTGAGTCACACCAACGTTAGCGGTGAGAGCGCATTACTAGCATCCATGACTTTTTGCTCTACAACACCTACACAGTTGAATCCAAGGCAGGCAAGTAGCAAATACAAATATATGCATCACTGAAAGAACATTTCTACTGCTTCTAGGCAGTATGTTTGCATACATACCATATAAGACAAGGCAGCTACAAACAACACTACTTAGAGAAGAGTTTGCTTTATAAAACTTCTGTAAGTGATGTGAAAAAGAACACAGAAAAACAGGTTACGACTTCAGGAGAAATTCATGTGACAGATCAAAACATACTACAAAAATTACGTCACAGCAAACATACTGGTACCAAAAGCAAATCTACTTTTTCCCTATGATTTATTTTAGAGACACTTTCTTCCAAGCATAATATTTAAAAGCATGGAATGGGAGATATTTTAATAAATTTTTTTCCAAAAGACATCCACAAAATGCTTCAGTGATTTACCACACTAATTCCCAGAGTACATAATCTTCAATATGTTTGTGCAAATTATAAAAGTTAACTGCTTGCCTCAAGCAAAAGGAATGACAACTTTAAACTACAGAGTAATTACTGCTTTAATTTACACGTGTTAACAGCTGCATTTAGAAACACAAACCCAGAAACAAGTATGTAGCTAGCTACATACACAACAGCTTCCTCACTGATCACAGGCACTCTATACAACTACCTCTTATGAACTTTATAGGGAACAGCCAACATTAATTTCAGCATTTCAGCTACTACCATAAGAAAAAAAAAGCTTCTGTTACAGCTTTTGCAAAATGATTACTTAAACACTGTGAGCTCTACTAGGCATTCAGGCCTCCTTTTAGGCATTTGAAAATTACTAGATATTTAGTATTAACACTTGAAATCTCCATTTGCCTGGTATCTTTCACTCAGGAAGCTCAACAAGCAAGCTGCAGATAAACTCCTCAATAACCTACTTATCAAAGACCCAGTATCCCTTTGATCTATTTACATAGGTGACAGACATCTGGTCTTTTCTGTTAATTTCTGCAAACTGTAGGGTATGTAAATACTGCTTCACTAGAAATCATTGCCAGGTTGCATTTACCAGTCATTTACTCTACCACAAGTTCTCAGGAAACATCACTTCTTACACCAAATTAAGGCTGGCTGCCTAGTTCTTTTCCCATTTAAAAATAAATGGGATGAAACCAAGTCATTTTAGAGGCTACTTGCTTTGTTTTCTAGATACATAGAGCTAGCTTATTAACAATATTAGCAAGAATTTTGAGGCATTTGAGACACAATTCGTCTTCTCAAAGGGATACAGAAGCAACTAATGTTCTGTCAAATCATTTTTATATTTATTCCTACGATAAAATACATGTAGCATCATAGTCACCAAGGAAAGAAGGCCTAATAGCTGTCATTTAGCCAACCTGTTGTATTTTAGGAGATGGATCCGCTTCCTTTCACAAATCTACTTTGAAACCTACTTGGACAACACCAAACACCCCTTACTCAGGGGGGCGGGGGGGGAGAGTAAGTAGTATGGGAGGAAGGAGGAAGAGAAATGAAAGGGTCTTGATGTACAATCCCTATCACAAGGCTTCGGGATTCTTTGGGCCAGAGGATGATGCTTCTCAAATTATACGTTACTTGTGAAGCATCTTAAGTATGTCCTACTTCAGATGCTCAGGACTAGCAGAAACATCGTATTTCATCTTACCCTTACCTGGATAATTTGTACTTATTCCATTTCCATGTGTTGTGTAACAATATCTGGCAAAATAAATAGAAGCAGAGAAGTGCATAGCTTACATGAAGCAAACATTTTCCCCTCTTGCAAAACTCTCAAACTTCTTCCTTTTATTAAGGGTTTGGTTTGTTTGAGGGGTTGTGGGGTTTTGTTTGTTTGTTTGTTTTAGACACAAGAGATTTGAGTTGTAAGAGCACAACATCTATCACTTCATGAGTTGCACTCCAAAGTTATTTAGTTTCACAACAGAACCTCACTGCACAGGAATATGTTATTCATTTGATCAAAACAAAATCATTAAGCTTTACTCAGACAAAAATTAACCAATTTAAGAACTAAGTTTTATGGGAGACTTGCCTTCTCATAAACATACTCACACAGTTACTGCAACTTTCCTTTCACAAAAGCTTTGAATTTGTGTACTGACGCTTCATGATGCAGAAAATTATGCAAATAAAAATCATGCAAATAAAACTGATAAAGTCCTTCAGAATCAATGCATTCATCACAGGCAGAAGTTGAGCATTGCTCAGTGAAATACTTATGACAGTTTTCTGTCTGTGCAGTTACCAAAAGCAACTTAAAAGCTTTTTCTAAAGTAAGTTTAACTGATTATGTCAGTCTCTGGCTCTTCATAATCACATGCAGAAGACCCCTGCCATCTCAAGGGCTTATATTCTCAGCTACTAAAGAAACTGATAGCGAAAAATGTAATGAATTACCAGCACTAGTTCTAAAGCCATAGAATTCAAGCCTGAAGTTATGCCAGAACTACATGTAAGATGTTTGTAAGTTCTAAATTGTAAGTCTTATTAGAAGACAGGACTCGGAAAGAGACACATGCAAGTCTTCAGCTGCCAGCTCTACAAGCTTAAGGTGAAAGGAAAAATACTCATTTTCACAAACAAACAAACAAGAGCCAAGTATTTAGAAGAATGCACATACAAATCCAAAGGTTGTTTGAGGATGCCCTGCTTTGACAGCTGTGGGCAAGATTTACACACACCCAGGCAGCAGAGCACTGTATCGCAGGCTAGCAAAAGGATAGAATTGTAGACAAAAATTGTGGGTTACAGTTTTAGAGATGAGTTCAGGTCTACCGCACCCCTTCTATGCAGCCCTTCAAAAGGATGGTTGTGTTTGGATTTATTTTTAATTCCCAATTCTTCTCAGTTCAGAAGAACATGCAACAGACAAGAAAACAAACACAAGACAGTATTCAAAGAGCAAGTTCCTTGACAACAAATATAGTCAGATATAACACACACAGAGCAGTTTGCCTCCTGGTAGTAATAGCAGTTTCCTTCAATTTGGTAAAGCTTCAGGCTACCTCAGAAAGATAACCTGACATTGAAGGATGATGACAAGAACAATCCCTGGAGCAAGAGGTGTGCATCAAGCTTGATTCTTTCAAAACCAGTGATTTCAAATTCATAAATGAAGAAACTGAACTATGGATTACAAAGTTATTTCCTAAATGTTTAAGATATGTGCTAGAGAAATCTCATAAAATTAATAGAACTAACTAATAGAACTAATCTTTTCAATTTGTGCTATTTTACTAGGCACCTACCAAAGTTGCCAGAGTCATATCCAGAAAACAAGTATCTTAACAGGAGTTTACAAAATAAAGACTGGAACTCCAAAGAGCAATTAGTTATTGCATAAATGACATTTTATGAATAAGAAACCTCACCTAGGAAAAAAAAAAAACTTTAAGGAAATGTTACAGTTACCAAAGCAGTACTCATTTAAGAAGTTGACTCCTACAGCACATCTTGTTAGAAGACATCTTTCATAAGGTTAAAGTGATGAAGGAGAGGGAAACCAACTACCCATTGTACTCAAAAGAGCACTCAAAGCAGCCCCTCTTCCTCAGCAACTCTAAAAACTAGGTTTTGCTCAAGGAAAACACTACGCAATGAAAAACTGAATATGCTATCAATGTGTTCCTTCAAAGCACCCATTCGCATCACACTTAGGTACATGTTCTGTTAAAAATAAGGGTAACTGCAATGACTTGCTTTACTCTAACATAACTACCCCAGCGATGCAGAAAGACTACTTGGTGGTCTTGTATTAAAAGGAAATACTAAGACAGACTACAAAGCACATTTCTTTTGCTGCAAGCTAGCACATTTAGTCTCATGACGTTTCCTGAAGATCAAAGCTGGTGTTTTTTGATACTTCATCTCTATAAATTTCTCCAACAAAGTAAGAATTTGTTATGTGTTATTTCAGAGCATTCTTTTTGCTTATTAAAGCAATACTTTCCAAAAATCTTGCTGCCAAGCATTTGAGAATAAAGACCCAAGAAGAAATGTGCACATGCAGACTCCTATTCCATATTATCTGTAACTAAAATTTGCCTTCCTAAACATTAGGAATCCTTCAGCATATCAGAGCATTAAGTGAGCTTAACCCCCATGCAGGGGAAAACTTGTCTGAGCAAAATTAAAAGTAGCTGGAGCAAACTAGAGGCTGTGTTTGTACTACAGGATCAGCTTAACTGCCTAATAAAACATGTTTTCATCATATTCATTAAGGGCAAAATCTGAGATTTGTGAAAGCAAGCTACATGAAAACTGGAAGTCTGATGTGTTCATTAACACAACAGCTTTTCCCTTTTGATTCACACACTTATTTGCAGCATTAGGCACACCAAAAACATACAAGAACCCATTTACTTGTGCTTGCTAGTTTTCTAGACAACCTCACTGTTTTTCCTATTGCTCAAGCCCCTTGGGGGGGGGGGGGGTCATAATAATAAAAAAAAAAAAAAATCACAGGACCCACCATTTCCTGGCTTAGTCTTTTGTGCTTACAATGTCCATGGATTTACCTAGAGCTCAAAGCCTTCTCCTAAATGCAGTTCTCAGGTCATTGGTCATTTGCTAGCCTCAAGATCACCTCTATATTTTTATCTTCCCCTTGATATATCAACACATGGCACTCCAGATCTTTTCTGGGCAGAAAGAACTAGCAGGAGACAAGGCACTCAGCACTGATGTTTTGGAACTTCACTGGAACATTTGTATCCCACAGAAGATTTGTATAACAGATCTTTCACTGTGAATTGAGAGGATATGAGAGAAGAAGGGGAAGGAAAAAGAAAATCCCACCAAACCACAACACACCGAAACAAGCTCTTCACTTGTATTACCAAGGATGTTGACCAGATAAGGGTTAACACGGAGTTTGTAAGTATGCCTTGTTCTGTTTTTAGGGAGGGAGTGGAAGCTAATGAAAAGCAGCAGACTGGTCAAGTTATAGTAAAAGTAATTCTTGATTATTTAAGGAATGACAGATAATAAGCATTTTAAATATTCAGATCACAAAACACGCAATCACTTCAATAAATACAATCATCTTTCACAAAACTTTCATCTGCTAATAAAACAAGCCTACAGGGTCTATATTGGACATTTCAACCATTTACATCTCTCCTCCCTCCTGGTACACACGGAGGGGTGGGGTGGGTTATTTCTTTTCTTTTTAAAATGGACCTTTGTTTCTAATTTCCTACACACTTCATCTTTTAATTTGTTGAAGTACTTCATCCTTTGTTTGGGTTGTATTAGCAGTTAGCAAGACATCCTGCCTCCTCTTTTTTGTATTTTTAAAATTCTTGTTGCGCTATTTGTTTCTCATCAGTCCCCTGCTTACCAAAAGATTTTTTTTCAACTCAAAGCTTGTAACGACTTTACTGTTTTCTCTTCCATTGCTAAGACATTACTTCTTAATAATAAGCTATCTTAAGCTAGTTTTAATTTTGCTTTACCTGTAACAGCCTGTTCCATACATGCAAGGTGTCCTCTTATGCTTGATCTGTTTGGAGCTTTCTGAAGCATCTGCACTTCTGGTTGAATCAGAAATCTCAGTCTCGTAATCCAGATTTGCATCAGGCTCAAGAGTCCCTTCCTGGGCACCAAAATATTGGGAAGTCCTGCCCCAGTGAGCTTGTTGGCTTGTAGAACCAGTAATCTGCTCTTTGTTTTCTGTTTCCTCAATTCTATTTTCTTTACTGGAGATCTGACCTACTCTTTTAGACCATTTACTATGCAGCTGCCTACCATTTTTTTCCAGAGAACTTCCAGGGTTTTTTGTTCCAGTCTTGCCATTTCCTTCCATGTTTCTCATGGTACTCTCAAGAGGAAATCCAGATGTATTCTGTGGAACAAGGTTACATTTTGAAGGACCTGAAAATTTACACTCTTCAGAATTAAAAGCTTTAAGGTCAAACTCTGCCTCATCTCATCATTCCTGTTCTCAAAATCAGAGAATCATAGAACAGCCCAGGTTGGAAAGGGCCTCAAAAGATCATCTGGTCCAGCCTTTAAAATCTTCTACTCCACTTTCCGAACCTAAGTTAGCTGCTAAATACAGCTGCTGAATGAAAGGCTCAAGGTTAAGAACACACACGCACAATTTAAAGAAAAACTTAGCCTAGAGCTCCCATCAGCTTCAGTTCCCTCACAACACAGTCAGGCTTCTTTCTCACCACCTCAGTTTGTGAATAGCCCAAGGACTTCAGTTTAAATTAACTTTCAATTAAAAGTACTGCTCCTGAAAAATGAATGGGGGTTAGACATGTGAAGATACAGTAGACTCTAAGAAGAACATATGCTCCTATACAAGGACCAATTTTAATCCCTTAAGTACCAAGATACATGGAATAGAAATATTTATCTACATATGGGAGAGATATGGGAATTCATAATATACAACTTGAGTTAATCCCATCCCAATACATCTTAAATGCTTCAGCTCGTGACTCTAAACCATAAAAGAGTTTGTCAGTAGATACCATCAGGCAAAGATTTCAGTTTTGATAAATACCGCATTTTAAATTTCGGAACACATGTACATTTAAAATAAGAGATGTGTGCTTTAGAAAAACAATGAAATACATAACCAAGACAAGAACACTGTCTCGACAACCAAGACATTACCTGGAAGCACACCTATATTGAAGGCTGAACTGCTTTGATACATTACAGAACTATTCAAAGGTCTCTGCTCTCTACAGTTTATTATCTAAGTGCCCCCTCCAGTAAATTTATACTTAGTTTACACCGATGTGTTTGGCAGAGCTTGAAAATCAGCTGGTGGCTTCCTGTTTGATTTTGTTCCTTTCAATGCAAGCCTCATAAAACGTTAACCAAAACCAGAGACAATAACATTTGAGCAGCAATGTGATCAAGAAAGGGCAAAGTCAGCATTAATATCAAATGATCCCGACAGCAGCATATTTAGTAAGTCAAATCAGAGACAAAGACGACTCTTTCATCGAGACTCCCAAAATAAGGCTCAGAAACAACTGCAGCTTAGGAAATAAGCCTTCATTTGCAAAAGGAACACTAAATTACCCTAATCTGCCACTCCCACTTGTGACTTCTCTACTACATACTTCAATCCATTGCCTATATTGCATATAATGAGAATAAATACTTGCACATTTATTATGATGACTAGTTAAAAAACATGTTGCAATCAAGGAAAACCAAAGACAACAGCACTATTGGAACTGCTTATACACGTATATGACCTCACTGCCATCTGCCAGCTGCTGGCACTTAGAAGAATTAAGATTCTTTTTTTTACTTCCTACCCTATAGCAGATTTTGTCAATTGCCTTAAATATGACAGCAGCAGAGTGATTTTAGTTTTGATATCAACATTCCAATCTTTTAGAGCTCTCTATGATTATTACTTTTGCTTGCACTAACTCATTATTTTTTCTGCAAAGTTCTGAAGGTAATTTCTTACACTGTGCTATAAAAATTATTTATGAAATTATTAGGAGAAAATAAGTAAGGCTTCATACTTATAAACTGCAGAATGAGATAACTCATTATGTAGTCACTCACCTTATAATTCGACAAAGAGAAAAGAGCACTGCAGCTGGTGTTAATGCACCTAGCCAACAACAAAGCTCACCACTCGGAACACTTTTTCAGATTAAAAGATACCACTACGTTGTATCAAAAGTACCCTGAAGGGTATGCTCTCCATAAGTAGATCATTTCAATTAACCTTAAAATTTAATTAAAAAAATAAACCATCCCCAATTGTTTTCAGTGTCAAAATCAATGAAGCATACCAAATCATAGTATTTTAAGTATTTTATCAGATCCTAGAACAGACCCAGGCAATTCTAATGCTAGAGATTAGAAACACCTCCCCAAGTTCTTCACTTAAGGGGAAAGTCAGTGAAAGCCTCACTTTGCTCTCACCAGAATATGTTTTGTTTGTCTTTGGTAACGATCCTTCTCTTTTCATTATTAGCAGGGTGCTATCAGTAAGCATTTAACTGTCTATAAACGCAGCTGTACTTTAAAGACACACAGACACATTGACCAGCTGGACCGAAGCATCTGTTCACTCACTGCCACAGATCATTTTGCATTTCAGATTACTTTTTTTTTCTTTCTTTTTTTTGACTCCGATTTTGAGATAGTGGCATAAGCACACTCCCTGCTGTCTTTCTTCAAAACGTAGCAGTTGCTAAGCCACATACCATAATTTTCTGGCCATAAAACTTCACCAACTAGAATGGCACTAGTTTGGGCAAAGTATGGCATCACATTACAGTGTCATACCATCACCTATCCCTAAAGGGTTCTCGGAAAAAGAAGCCACACACCAAGCCACTCCTAGGACCAGTACTTCGGCCCGTGTCTTCCAGCCTCTTGCTACAAAGCTGAAAGTCCGGTATTTCTGTGCAACATTCAGGGCCTAAATCCCAGATCCTGAGAAGGAAGTGCAGAAAACCAACTCTCTGAAGACTTCCAGGATCCTTGCTATAGAGCTGTCCAATGGACTGGCATTTCAAAACAACTGTTAAACAACAAATCACAAGCAGAACACATAGTTATGATGCAGACCCAACCTTCAACATGACATTTCCAACTACATTCTCATTTTTTGAAATACCACGGTTCTGCCCCGAGCCAAAAAATTACCTGAGATGAAGGGACAGGGATGAAAAGACAGCTCCTTTTCCCTTGATCTTGCTCTTCACCTTCAAACTCCTCTATAGTTTCTTCAGAAGCTAATCTTTTTTTCTGCTGCACATTTACTTCTGACTGTAATGACTCCATATTACTTTCTCCCCTTCCTTGGCCTTTTTTCATTCTACTACCTTAAAAGAAAAATAAAATGGTACTTTTGGAATGCAACTTTTTACAGTGAAATCCTGATCACATTAGAAATCTAGAGCTACATCAAAGCAGAACTCTGGGCAAAAAGCATGAGAGAGAGCAGCACTTGTGCATGTGCTGTTTCAACAACACATTTTTCACTTCCCACTTATAGGAGTAAAAAGTATGTTTTAGAATGAAACAGATGTTTGAGGGGGAAATTTGAAGGAAAACAATAAATATGTGGCAAAGGATATTCTGGACTGACTGTACGAGTATGACTGACAATTTCATTTACACAGTAAGAGCTGATCAAGTAAACCAAGCATCCAAGGATGACTTTTACCACAGACCTTTCAAGTAAATATCATTTCAGACTACCAGTTTATACACAAAAACATCAATTAATTAGCACATGGCAAAATCAGGGTATGCCCACTTGCCTAGTCAACGACATCATGGTTGATTATGTCATCAGCCAGTAACCAATGGAAAGACAGCAAATGTTGTGCCTCTCTTTGGAAAGCTTCACATCACAGAAAACCATAAGTTCTCTGTCCTGAAGTAGTATTTTCTGGATATATAGCTGGGAGACAGCTAAGGCCATTGTGCCGGTTTTGTTATAGCTCCATCTGCTGCAAAACGCATTCAGAAGGAAGATACTTGAGGCCATTTTGCAAGTATTCAAAAACTCTCCCCCTTCAAAAAATACAGTCATGAGAGAGACATCTGCAGGAAGCAAGGAATTTTTCCAAATGTTGATGTCCGACTTCAAAACAGCAAATCGGTGTTCCCTTTCCAGTAGGAAGACATGCAGAAGAGAAACAAAAGGGCAGCCTTTTCATTTTACCTTTCCATCCAATACCACCCTAAAAAGATGCAAACCATTTCACAATTTTAAGGAAATATGAGATTTGCAGAAGAGATTGGTTGTTTTATTAAAGCAGCCCACTCTAAGCTGGAATCATTATCTCACATAATGAATTTTTAAATGGCTCCAATAGTGTTCATGTGTATCCCTAGCTCCCTCAAGGTCAGGCCTTCAACAGCACACAGATACCCCTGGCCCACACAGCTCCAAATCTCAGCACCTACATGATCAAAATGCTCAGTCTTTGAAACAAACATTATATACACATATATAACAAACATTAGAGTACTTCTGGAGGAAAAACAAACAAGCAAAAAAACCCCCCCCACACACACACCCAAAAGAAAACCCAACCCCAAACATAAGAAAACAAATCACACTAGTGCAGGACTCAACAACTCAACATAGCCAGCAGAAGTCCTCTGGTACATGCAATATTTTACATCCGAGGGAATAAGCCAGCAGGGAACAGTCTAGATTTGGAAAGGGGGAAAAAAAAGAAAAAAAAAAAAAAAAAAAAAGAATCTTTACCTTCCCCCCCTTCTTTTTTTTTTTCTTTTTTATAATTTTCTCAAAATTAGCTTTTGAAGAAAAGAATAGGCACGGTAGCCAATGGCTTACAACAGAGGTGTTTAAAGCCAGAATTGCCCCGGTCAATCCATCCAGACACCTGCACTTACTAAAGGAGATAAGAAGCAATTGTTCAGACATCACATGAAATGAATCTTTACCTTCCCCCCCTTCTTTTTTTTTTTCTTTTTTATAATTTTCTCAAAATTAGCTTTTGAAGAAAAGAATAGGCACGGTAGCCAATGGCTTACAACAGAGGTGTTTAAAGCCAGAATTGCCCCGGTCAATCCATCCAGACACCTGCACTTACTAAAGGAGATAAGAAGCAATTGTTCAGACATCACATGAAATACTTCTGCAGGCCTGCTCGGGCATCAAGACCCAAATTTTTCCATTGCACCATCTCAGCAGAAATAGCGGTTGGAAACAGAGGCATTAAAGAATAGCTGTTGGACACAGAGGAGGGGACACATGGCCACCAGCCACAGTTCGTACACTTAGACTGACTAATGAAGGAAACTCAGGAGTTAGGACCGAAACCTCACCACAGAACGGCGAGCAGGGTGAGGTGCGCCGTCTTCGGCACACAGAAAGACAGAAACACTGGGGGAGCATTGTTAACGTACGTAGTCATTTTCCTTCTCTTCTCTCATTTCTTTAGTCCTCCCAGTTCCATCAATAAAAGTCATCAAAGCAATAAATGCCATGCGATAAGTTTGTTAGAGAATGTCTAATGGCAGTTTTAGAACTCTTTACAAGCTCCCAGGACCACAGCCAGACGTGCTAGAAGATTTTCTTGGGATTGTGCCAATGCAGCGCCCTTGTGTCTCCCGTTGATAGAGACTAAACACAGTGTTCTGCTGCTGTTACCACCGATACACAGTGGTAGAAGTTTATCATGTGTTCAGCAATTTCCTTTTGTGGGAGGGACGAGAGGGAATGCAATACTATTTTAGCCTCATACTAGTAAGAAACTACTATAATGTGATGAACTGCTCCTCCTAAGAAGAAACTGTGGACTAAATGATCAAGTCTGATTCAGTCACAGTTAAAAATAAACTAACGCATACCACCACCCAAAAAAACCCACCTTTAAAACCTGTGAAATTAGAAGAATCTAAATTTAGAAGGGCAATCAGTGACTTAAATGTGGAGAAGACTTGGAATTAAAGGTACAGAAACTACATAGAATTTACATACTAAACAAAGCAGGTGAGTTTATAGGAAAGGGCTCCACAATATCAGATGTTCGGCTGTCCAAAGAGAGTATATTACTTGGCACAAAAAAAGGGAACAGAAAGAAAATCAACTAATCAGAAAGAGCTCTGTCACGCCTGTAGGACCGATGACCAAGGAGACAACAGAAGTCAGTCCTCTGTCAGCTTCCGGGCACAGAACATGGAAAGAGAAGTAGCAAATTAATACTTTCTACTACCAGAATTATATTTTAAGAAAATGAGATCAAAGCACATAAATGTATATTGGTATGCAAACATACTACACTGCAAACCTACCTCCTTTCATTACAGGTTCAGAAAGCCTCTGAACCGGGAGGTCGCTTTCCAGCATCCAAGATGGAAGCACTCTCTTTCTTTGAATAGATTTTGACTGTTCACTTTCCTTATCATCAGCAGGAGGAACCTGAAACAATAATTACTGTTTAGTACCTTTCTCCAGTTACAAAAGACATGGAAAAACTAGAACACAAGTTTGTACACAGTTTATGTCCTTCAAACACAGCTTTTACAGTTCCTACTCACTCAGAAAAACAATGTCTATAGAAACCTTCATGTAGTAAAAAAAACCTCCTTAGACCTTTGGAATAAATATCTAAAAGGCTACAGACTGAAAGTTTCATAGAAGAGCTATATCAGCATCTTGCTATAGAGCTTCAACACACAGAAATATGAGAAAGAGGAGGTTTAACAAACAAATGCCTCTTTGTCAAAAAATCAGAAAAGTCTTGCTAGCATTCTCTCAATTCCTTTCTCCAGAAAGGAGCCACACTCTAAAAAAATTAAATACAGCAAAGGCATGTTCAGTACATACTTACGTACTGAAAGTAATGCTATCAGTTTGAATCTCTACTTACTAAAAGATAAGTATCCATCCCAGGAATCTCAGCTACAGTAAAGGCTGACATTTCCTTTGTTGTACGTAGTTATCTACTGTAAAGTGATGTTGACCATCATTTGCGTCCCTTTTAGCACGACATTGCTCGATACACAACAGAAGACCTAAGAAAAATCCCACTGGCTCCCATACACTATTCATCGGACTGTCTGAAAGCCATTTTTACTCAGCAACATTTAAAAAAAGCAAAAGATAAAAACTCTGATTTGCTGGACAAGATGCTGGCTGCCAGGGAAAAACAGGGGGGTTATTTATCTGTGTGTTTGTATGGATCTTGACAACACAACTCCATCACAGCTGTACGATTCAAATTAAATGGGCTGCTAGTACACTATAAACAGACATTACAGCCAGCACAAGGTATCTACAGTCCAAGCGCACGCTCTCCAGATATAAATTTCAGAGGCTTTTAGGCTGGTTGTGAGAATTCATTCCCCTAGGCCTTCACAGGTACTTACAGCACAGTTACTGATACAGACCAGAAGAGGACTTTGCTCTCTAGTACTGCACTCAGCTACCGTACTGTTAGTTCAAAATATTCCTGTAGCAATAGCATTTTTTGTATGTTCCAGAGAACCAATTACTGCAGCGTAATTAACATAAACATAAATACACAATAGAAATGTATTTACATACTTGTATAGCATACAATCCCAATCAATAAAACAAGATATATTTTGAGCATACAACTTTGCCAGAGTTTACTTCTCAAAGAAAAAAGAAAAAAGGTTTAGAAAACACATGTCATTTTCAACACATACTTACAAATATTAAATTTAATTTAAAAACTAAGCACCTACCAAATGTCTGGAAGTAGTGTCATTTTTTCTCATTTTTGCAGTTCCCTGTATCTCAGAGTTGGAACATGCCGGTTCTATTAACAATGGACTACAAGACATCTCAACAGCATGAACAGTTGGTCCTTCTTCTGCATCAGACTCCTGATTTTTTTCTGAGAAAGCAAATTAGTTTTTAGCTAGTCAAACTCATCATGAATATAAACATTTACTTTTCAGTTAAACACAGAGGTTGGGCTGAAGGTTTGCTATTAATACACTTCTAAACTGAATGTAACATGCTCTTACATCAACTTACAGAAGAAATAAACATGCCTTCCTTTGCACCTTCCACTGAAAGTATTTTGAACCAAAGATTTTCCAACTACTGCCGACCCCTACTGTACTGTGCTTTGTTTTTTAAGTACGTAATTTATACTAGTCACTACCATGACAAAACTTTGAGAAAGCTGAAATTACAGTTTAGAATTTGCTTCACCGTAAATCTGTGCAACTTCTCAAAATGTGCTTCTATACTAAAAGTCAGTTAACAACGCTAAGATAGTTTTCAGGGTCAGATGTCCAGTGAATCTGGCACTTCTTTTTAAGTTCTCACCAAAGTCTGCAGCTCTGAAGTGACACCATGTACTCAGGTGCTTGAAGACGGTTTTAAAAGCCTCAGCGCGGAGCCACCACGTCTGAAATCCTTTTCAGTCGTGAAAGTGCATTGAAACTGCAACTGTTTTTCCTTCAACACTTCACCCTTCCGCTCGTCAATTCACTAGCACAGAGGATTAGGGGGGAAAAAAAAAAAGTCTGATTACTGCTGTACCCGCTGCACAGCACCGCTCGGGAGTCACTGTTGTCCCTTCCACCGCTTTCTGCATCACACAGGAGGCACACGCCGACCAGCTGAACTTTTCATTTCGTCGTGAACAGAAACACAAGAGGCCCCGCTCTGCCCCGCCCCCCACCTTCCCAAACAGGCCCCTCCAGGTGCTTCTCGAGAGATTTCGGTTCTGCACGGGCTCCCCCCCA